GGGGGGGGGAAGAGGAGGAAAGCCCGCCGCGTTTCGGGGAATACTTGGCAGCCGGCAAGATCCTTCAAGCAAAGCTCCAGTGACGTGGTTGGGTGGCATTTCAAGCCCTGCTGTGTAACATGCTGTACTAAGCCCTGTAAATAGACGGTCGCCGATGACCGAGCGCTTACATAAATACCTAGGTTCTGCACAACAGGGTCTAGCTCCGAGCAGTGAGAAGCTGCTACAGCTGATTGAAATGCTCCGTATTTAGATAGTGACTGAACTAAATCTTTCAGTAATTGGGATACTGAAAGAGTATGAATGTCTTCAAAAACTTAGTAACTGTGTTTACAGAAGAGGAACGGGGGAAGTAGAAGATGGAAAACACCCTCCTCAGAATCTAAGCATATATAGATTAATACATTTTGAATCAGTTTTAAATCAATGTCTTGAACATAACTTATTGCTAGTGAGGATGATTTAAAGCCAAGTTCCCTTTAATGAAAAAGCCTTCAGGTTGCATGCAAGTCATGAGCTTTCAATTGCTTGAATGCTTTCAGCATGTCTATGATTGGAAGCTCAAAGTTATACTAATATGCCACTATGGCTGTGGGAAGATTAGTTCAGGGCACAAAATAAAAGCTCTTAAACAACTTGTCCTGGGAAATATTATTTAGAGATAGGAACTTCTGAGCTGCAAATATGAGAGAAACCTGCTCAACTGGAACTGGCTGCTTTTATTTAAGTTGTCTTGAGAAGTTGATGTTGCTTTTTATATTCATTTCCACTGGCCGTACACAGGCATACTTAGGCAAAGGATATGCACATAAAGTGCACATAAAAGACTCCTGCTCAGAGTATCTAGAAAACTAAAGCCGAAAGTAGTGTTCAGACACTTCTCATATTTGTCATAGTATGCAACACTTCCCTTGACCTCTAGAGCAGGCAAAATGCTATGGTTTGACTTCAGTATGTTGACCTTTCTCAGAGAGCTTGGCAAAAACCCAGGGTAGGATTGAGTTTCTTTAAGAGCCTCTGCACAGCGTTACTTCATGTCACTCCTTGTGTTTTCTATTAGAAAAATAAGGCATATATAAAAAGCAAATTTCTGTACAGTCTTTCTCCAGAGGAAATTAATTTTCCTCAGAAGACACACTATTTACTACCTTGTTACTTTATCCTCTGCTTTACTGCTTGTGATTTTTCGTTATTTATTTTGCTATAATTTAATAAGGAATAGCTTTTTAAAAGAAATCTGTAATTCTTAAAATACTTCATAAAGCTATCACACCATCATGCACCTGTCAAACCGTCATAGGAAATGACTTGCACAGTAAACCAGTAGCATCCAGGAATACAAGTCAAACCTCTGCTTCCATTTGTGTCCCGAGTAAAGGACAGTTGGCTTCAAGGAAAGGAAAGCTGCTTCAGATTACATCTTTACCTTAAAATGTCCACACTGCCATTTGGTGCTAATTGTACCTTATCATCTTGAGAAGCTGTTTAATTTCCTTACATTTACAAAATCCCTTCTCTAGCAGTAAGTATGAATTAATGCTGGGGGTAGGGTGGCTGGAAAATTTCTACATTTCACTACTCATTAAACAACTGAAATCTTTTAGCTTCATAACATTAAATCCAGTTTTCTTGTAACGTCTCACCACCACCCCTAAATTACAATTATTTATAGCCATAAGCTGTCTCAGAAGGTCTCAGCTTTTCTTACACTAGCTTTTCTTACACTAGCTTTTCAGTTAGTGTGCTTACATAGTTTATAGAACTGCTGGCCAGACACAACAACTTGCTTTATCCCATCCTTCTCTGCCACAGAGACAGCAGTGTTAGCATTGCAGATCTCCCTCTGTAACCCTTCCTTCTATGACTACTCGATGGTTGAGCTTGGCTAAAAGACATAGCTGAGGTTTGTTTTCCAATGAAACAAGAAAAGGAAGAATGGAAGTGAGATATTGACAAGACCCAACTTTCAAAAGTTATATTGAACTTTACGTGAGAAACGAGAGCTTTAACCATTCCCCAGCAATTGCAAGTCTGTCTGTCCTTGCAAAATCTTGTAAAAGTTCTCTGGTTACCTGGGGAACTGAGAGGGAAAATGCACATCTGGAGACGGGCTCTGAAGCTACACTGACAAGACTAGGTTATTCTAGAAAGCTAGGGGGTTTTTTGATACTTAAAATCTAAAAGGATCTTTTGCTGATCCTACTAGTGTTTTATTATGGAGTCAGTTCTCTCTTATTTTATTTATTTAAAGGTACCAAAGATGACATGTTCTAGAATTCAAAACAAATGTATCTATAGATTTGGAACACAGCTTAAAACAAAGTTACACTTCTTGGCTGAATAATATAAGTTAAGGCTGAAATTTCATTCATCAAAGCCAGGTTTCTTTAAGTTTATTTAAATAAACTTCTTTTTTTTTTTTAATAAATCAGGCAATTAATTGTAATGCACAGATTCTCACAGACTGCTTGTGCTGAATTTACTTTGCAGGACTGCTTTTGCTGACCAGTAGCTCAGAAATATTAGTCATAGTCCATAATGTCTCATCTTCAAAGCCTTATATATTTATCTTTCTTAAGGATGAAGTTGTTCAGGCTAACTCACATGATGCAATCCTTTATATTTGCCCAATGAGAAATTAATTTTCATTTGTAAGCCATTCTCCACAAGTACCTGATCATTTTTGTTGGTCTCTTCCAGAAATTTAAATCCGTCATATTCAGAGCCCTTTAACTACAAATATTTGGCAGAAAATTTTCTTTAAAGTTCTTTTTACCAGCCATATTTAGCAGACAGCTAAATTTACATAACAAAATTGAAACTGAATTTGGTGATTCAGAGCTCAAGAAAATTAAGTATTAACAGATACCTTAGACTTAAGCTTAACTAGTCACTTAAAAACTTACACAGCATACAGTTACTGATTTCACCTTATGAATTCAGGGAGTTAAGATCTGTAGGAAAAATAAGGTAAAATTTTATATTTAATAATTCTTGACCTTTCTGCCATTGAAGGAACACTCAAGACTTTTGGGGAAAATATCAGTTGACCGTTTTATATGCATTTCTGTTGTTTGTTAGTTTGTGTAGGATGCTAATTATTAGCAATTAAGTAAACAAAATGCTAGTCTTACTGTTAGAAATGCAGTCATGTTCATATGTCTCTGTTAATGAGTTAATAAGCTGCTAATAATCAGAGGTATATAGCATCTGGGAGCTAGCTCCCAATTACACCTGCGCTCCGCACCACCTACACAGTCACGCGCTGCCATTAGTTGCTCTAGGTTCTTTGTTTCCTGGACCACCAGGTTATGGACATACGGTGAGCAAGTGTTTTAAGAATAAAGCCAACTGAATGAAGAAAGGATAACCTGCAGCCAGACCTACCTGCTGGATACAGTGACAGAGGCTTTGAATTCCTGGATGAAATCTCACACAAATTGCTCTTTAAAAGAACAGGGGAGGTCAGCTGCTCAAAAAGAGTAAGGAGCAAAACGGCTAGAAGGAAAGAAGAAATTGTTAAACAACAACAAACAAACAAACAACCTACACATCTCTAAAGATCATTGCTCTCCATAATTAGGGGAAAAAATGAATTGCTAGCTGCTGACATTGCAGAGATTTAAACTTTTTTTTTTTTTTTTTTTTTAAAAAAGAGAATCAGTGGGCAGTTGAAGTTGGGAGTGTGGGTGGGGGAGAGGGTTAAGCGGTCTCCATCACAATAGGCCACTCAAAATTCATCATTTCCTAAAGAGTCTGTAAAATACCATTGAATTAGATGACCTGAAAATACCTACTGGGCTGCGTGTCTGAGGACTGAGTTATGAAATGACTGACTAGCATCTGGCAGAATCAAAACGTGCAGGGACAAAAAGGCAGGGACGCTCTTCTGGTAAGGAAATTCAAGTGAAAGAACTCACAGCATGTGAGGGAATTTCCAGAGCATCAGTGTACTGTGCCTATCCAGACTGATGCTGGGGAAAGGAGAGAGAAGCAAGGACACTGAGGAAATACTGAGCATGTCAGAATTTCACCAGGACAAGCACAGTCCATTTGGAAAAACTTCTATCAAGAAGAAATAAAAATGGCAATGTGCTAGAGGCAGTTTTGCCTCGAGGACTTCTGATGCCCAAGGAGAAAGCAAAAAGGTTCATAGCAATGCTAGTATATGCCAAACTTTCTTCAGTGGTGA